AAAATTGTAAAATATTGCAGGTTATTTAGCCTCAGGTGTTGTGGCTGCATTAGTTGTTTTTGTTTAACCCTTTTTGTACCCGGTACACCTGACAGCAATACACTTCAGGTCCTAGGGTTACAACACTCACTGTACTATTGGGGATCAGTGTTGTCACCTTACGCTGCTTGCACCTGATTTGGACTGCAGAACACCTTCCCATCTCTCTTCCATAATATGGTGGGAGGTGTTATAGCCTTCATTCATAAATTACCGTTATATGTAGAAAAAAAAAAAACATTTGGACCCTTGTTAACCTTTAGTAAACCCTAATTAGAATTTAGTAACTTCTTCATTCAGTTAGCTATGCTTTGTTGATTTTTTTTTCTTTTTTTTACCATTTGAACACTTTAATAATTAGAGTGAACTGTTTTTTTTTTGTAGTGTCTTTATAAAAGGGGCAGATCGCAGAACAGAATTTGTACATTTTGAGTCGTAACCTTTTTTAGTTCCCGCATGGTAGAACAAATGTTGGTTCTGATAATGTACAGTAAGTGGAAACCTGGCTTGCATTTAACATGCTCATTATGACTAATTTACATTGGTTTAACCACATCACAAAATTGCATTAGTTAAAGGAAGGGGTGCCTTGGCATCTTCGCCTTGGGTGCCAGAGGATTTTGTCCCGGCATTGTTAGTGAGCCAATCAACGCTACACATAGTAACCCAATCAAGATATCCAATTGTAAGGTGCCCATACACAGGGTTTTCTTGAGGCACAGTGGGTGCTGTTGTCGGCATCCTTTCGGATGGAATGCCTTGATCAGCTGATCGAAAGAGGTGGTCTGAAAATCTTCGTACGACCAGAGGCGACAGCCAATGAGCTGCTGGCTCTGTTCGGGTATTATGACAGGGGCCGGCGGCCGCTGTCAGTATACAATTCAAACATTGGGGATTCCTCGATTGACACACTTACAGTGTTGATGGAGGAATCTGCTCTATTTTTCTCGTTCAGCCTGCGGGTTAAACAAGAAAACTACAGCAGTGTATGGCCGGGTTCATACCTAGGCGGCACCGTTTTTGCGCGTTTGTACACGCATGTTCAGCGTGCAGTTATTTGCGTTTTTATATGCGTTGTGCACATTTTGATGCACGTTTGTATGTCACTATGTCGCCCAGAAGGGATCCTGCGTGGCCCCGAAACGTTGGCTGTATGACGCATGTGACAATTTCATAAAAAGTGCTTTACTTCTTGCACATATCATTGAGTACTAGTGACTTCTATAATGTAATGTGCGTACATGAAGACGCACCTTTTGGCTGGCAGCTTATGAAACATTGTGGGCAATTGACGAGCGCGCGTTTAAACGCGCAATAACGCGCATGTAAATGTGCAACATGTTTCCGGCAATTCCATTGAAGTCTATGGGGCAAAAATGCGCTGTTAACTGCCCAAAGAAGTTCATGTACCTTTTTGGGCGTTTATCTGCTGGCATTTTGCTGTTCAGGAGTGAACAGGGGCCATTGAAAATCACGGGATTTCTTGTGTCAGGCATTTAAAAGCGCTTTTCCAACTGCTCAAAAATGCCTAGGTGTGAACCAGGTCTTAGTCACACCAAATGCAGACCTGATGGGGAACTTTTTTACACTTCATTGTTTCATTTTTGATACAGTATGGAATAGTTGAAACTCCGATCAGTTTGTTTTTTTGCTGTATGTGTCCCATCACTTTCTGTTAATGTAAAAAATGGCCACCAAGACAAAAAGAGAGGGTTTATCTCTCCAGCGGGGATTGAGACAGAAAAAAACCCATAAACGTTCCTTCCGCAGATGAACTGCTTGAATCAGTATCTCTGCAGCTACTGTATATGATATGTTTTATTCATGTACTGCCCTCTGGTGGAGGCTTTAAGAGTATCTCTTATGACCGTTCTCTATATAAGCAATACACTGATTACCATATTCACTGGAATCACCTGGAGGATGAGAAGGAATTCTCGGGAGGTTATAGTCAAATGCTTCATCGGGCTGTTCTTCAATCTTTTCATGAGAAAAATCAGAAGTCACAGATGGTTCTGAAATGGAATCACCATAATTATCCAACTGTACAGAATTAACACACCAATGAATGACATTTTACAGAACATGATGTTACTAGATTTATAAAATAACCCTCTATAAGCAACTTAGAGACCACCCTTTATCACTTCTGAAATGATAACTGTTAATTGACATCTACACAATAATGTTGATGGATAACCTTGAGGCATTCTGATATCGAGTCTAATAATGTAAACCCGGGCTCAAAATGTCCGCTCGCCTGCTCGCATTTGGCGAGTGGAAATTTGGGTCTCCAAGTACCGGTCCGCAGACCAACTTCGGCCCGCGAGCCGGTACTATGTGACCCGCAGGCAACTGACATGTCAGGTACACGGTCGCACACAATAATTATCCAACAGAGGATTGTCAAAATGTAAAAGGTGTCAGGGGCGTAACTAGAAATCCCAGGGCCCCATAGCAAAAAATTTTAAGGGCCCCCCCCCCCACACAACGAAACCCCCCGCCCCCATTTTAATAGAAATACACTGATCAGCACGTTTTTGAGCATTTTTAATTGCGACTGAAAACAGCCAAAAATGCCGCTGTCCTCCTGTCAGTTTCAAGACGGCAGCGGCTCCTCCGCCATCCATTTTTTTCCGGATCCCCGCTGCCTCAGCCCATACAAGCGGGGGAGAGCAGCAGGGATCCGGGCCCCCTCATTGCCGCGGGCCCCATAGCGACCGCATCAGTCAGTCGCTATGGTGGTAGTTCCGCCACTGCAAGGTGTATTTAGTGTACCCAAGTATAGATCCCACAGTATATAACAAGCAATGAGACTTGGGTACAAGAATAAAAAGAAAATGTCAAGGAAAGAGGGAAAGGGAGGGTTAGGAGAAGGGAGACTGTAAAGTTGGCCATACACAGTGCGAATTTCATCTGGTTCACCAGGAAATTTGCTTAGTGGGTGGCCCTGATGGCAGTCTTCTGTCCAGCATCCTTCGATCATACAATGAAAGGATCCGGTTGGAAGATTTGCTGGCGTACATCCACGTCAGCTTATGGCCTGCCATCACTGTTCAGGTATTCTGACAGCAGCACACCTGCCACTGTCAGAATACAATATCATGGATGGAGGAATCTGTTATATTTTCTTTTTTTGCAGCCCACAGTTTGAATTAAAAAATTAAACTGGTGTATGGCCAAACGATGGTAGAAGGTAGGGGAGAGATAAAAGGTGGTGTAGCATCACCCAAGGGCTCTTCTGAGGTCAGGAGAGAGTGTTTATAGGTAACTGAGGCTATCTGGATTTAGAGAGGGAGAGCATAACCAGGCCAAGGTTCCCAGACTTTGAGGAATGTTGATTGTGAGTCAATGAGGATACTAGAAAGATTCTCATTGGCAAACAGTATACACTGATCAGCCATCACATTATGGCCACCTGCCCAATATTGAGTAGGTCCCCCTTGCCACCATAACTGTCCTGATCCATCAAGGCATGGACTCCAATAGACCTCTGAAGGTATGCTGTGGTATCTGGAACCAAGCCATCAGAAGCAGATCATTTAAGTCCTGTAAGTTGTGAGGTGGGGCCTCCATGGATCAGACTTGTTTTTCAACCACATACCACAGATGCTTGAAGGAGAACTATGACTTAAGGGCAAATAAAAATACCCCTTACCTTGATTGTAGTAGCATCGTTCCTTTTTCTAAAGTCGCAGCACATCACAGATAAAACCCTCAAAACCTGTAGTAAATGGCCGTCTTCAACCCAGCTCCAAGCTCCGTTTCTCTTACGGGGCGTTAACATTTGATCCAGCCCGCCCACAGCTTTTTTTTCAACTCATCTCATTGCTGAGGCCGCACTTCCTCTCATCGTGCACAGCTGTGAAATGCCAGCTCGTGCACGCTGGCATGTGTGATCGGGAGGCGGAGTCTGAAGTGAGAAGCCTGCTGCAAGAGATGGTATGAAAAAAACTGACTCAGCCTCCCTGCACATTCAGTGCTCTTTCCCCTCTCTCATCAGCGATCCCCAGTAATTAGGATGTCAGCATAACATAGGGGCAGAGAGAGAGGGGATAAAGAGCCATCCCTCTCTCTTCATCATTTATGAGAAATGGGCAAGTCCATATATGGTGAATGATGTCACTGGGTATCCCTGCAGACTGGCAAGCATCCGATCAGCAGGGATCCCCAGTGACATCATTCATCATATATGCATTGGCCATACGTGGTAAATGATGGAGAGAGAGAAGGCTCCTTCCCCTCTCTCTCTCAACCTGCCCTGAGTGACGTTGACATCCTCAATTCACTGGGGATCGCTGATGAGAGAGGGGAAGGAGCCCCTTCTCTCTCTTCAGCATTTACTACAAATGGGCAAGTCCATATATGGTGAATGATGTCAATGGGAATCCCTGCAGACTGGCAAGCATCCGATCAGCAGGGATCTCCAGTGACATAATTTACCATATATGGACTTTCCCATTTGTAGTAAATGCTGAAGAGAGAGAGAGAGGGCTCCTTCCCCTCTGTCATCAGCGATCCACGGTCATTTCAGTATGAAAATGACTTCTGTCAGCGCTTCTGTGTCCCAGCCTCCTATGCTATCCGACGGCGTTTCAGGGTCTCGGCCGGCTCTTCTGCCAGACCGCACTTACGGATCCCGGCTTCCTCCACCACCTGAACGTAGCTGTGGGGATCTGGACCCGCTCCTCCTGCTGCTGCTCGATAAGGCCGCCAAGGCTGCTGTCACACATGGCAGGGAGAGAGAGGGGAAGGAGCCCTCTCTCTCTCTTCAGCATTTACCACGTATGGCCAATGCATATATGATGAATGATGTCACTGGGGATCCCTGCTGATCGGATGCTTGCCAGTCTGCAGGGATACCCAGTGACATCATTCACCATATATGGACTGACTGTGCTGTACACTACACGTGTCGTGAAGTAGGCGGGACAGATGAGGAGGAGGGAGGGGATCAAGAGCTACACAGCAGCTGTCTTGAAGGCTGGCACACGGGGACGTGCAGATAAGAAGAGAGCTCTCAAGAATCACTGTCAGTTACAGTGAGGAAGATCAGTGGGGAGGATCCCGTCAGACACGTCGGGATGTCTCCTCATTGCGGCGCTTAGCCCCGCCCACCACCTCAAATTAGGTTTTACAGCCTTATTGTGCATTTTGGCTAATTAGAGTAAATTACATAATTTACTTATTTAGCCTAAGGAATGCATTAATCAAGAAAAGATAGAACCCCATAGTTCTCCTTTAATTGAATTGAGATCGGGAGAATTTGAAGGCCAAGTCAACACCTCAAACTCGTTGTTGTGTTCCTCAAACCATTCTTGAACCATTTTAGTGTAGGGGAATTCCAAATTCCTAATGGGAGAAGTGATCCAGTGTCTAATCTCAAATTATCTCTAATACTATGGGAGAAATTGATCAAAACTGGAGCAGACAGAATCTTGAGCAGTTGCTCATGGCAACCAATCAGCTTCTCTCTTCAGTTTGATCAGTTAAGATATGAAAGAGAGAAGCTGATTGGTTGCGACGCAGAGCTGCTCCAGATTTTGTCTGATCCAGTTTTGATAAATTCCGCTCTATGTCTGAAGAGCTTCATGTTGCCCCCGCTATTCTGCTCATGCTGGAAAGTGCCATGAGGTGATAAAATGATTCAAGAAACGGTGGGAAGTCTACCAATCAAAGGACCTATTTCTGGTGAGAAAAGTGGATCATTGACTATCAGCAGTAGGGGTAGGAAGGGAGACCTTAGTTTACTAGAGCATCAAATCGAGGTCCATAGCTTCATGCTATGCAGCATCCATGGGCGAAGAGAGTCATTTCTTTGCATTAATGGGCCCTATCCAGGACAGGGAAGTTAAGGTCCACTCCCTACCCTGTGACTGGACAGTGAAAGGAGACCTAGCACACTCATGAGCCTGTCTGTGTGCTACGCCTATCAGAGTACTACTTACACAGCTGCAGTCCTTATTGGCTTCTTGTGCTATTTCTCTCCCTCACATCTCTTAGCTCTGTTGTACAGACTGTACAGTAGCCTGCAAGAGGCTGATATGAAGTCAAATTCAGGTGCTTACACTGCTTGCATTTAAAGTAATACATTTAATGAAGTATTATGAACACATAGCTGCATTAATAGGTTCCTTGTATCTGCCTGGAGTTCAGCTTTAGATACTTTTAAAATATATCTTGCAGAAAAGGGATTGAATCGTTTGGTGGCGTTCAGCGGCTAGCTTCGGCACCAGGACCCCTTCGGTTCAGGAGAACCGAGGGGGTGCTGTACGGCTATACACCCAAACTCCACCCAGATTCACACCACCACCACCCAAGATTACTCAAATGACATGCAGTTTAGTAATTTCTTCCATCATTAAGGAGAACGTAAAGTGGAACTGTGGCCTTTCAACAAAAAAAAAAACTGTGAGCAGAAAGGTGTTTATTACAGAAGAAATATATATTGAGGGGTTATTATCAAAACTGGAGCAGACAAAATCTGGAGTAGTTGCCCTCGGCAACCAATCAGCTTCTCTCTTTCATTTTCAAAGCTTAACTGAACAAGCTGAAGAGAGATAAGCTGATTGGTTGCCATCGGCAACTGCTCCAGTTTATGTCTGATCCGGTTTTGATAAATTCCCATTGTCTCTTCTGCAAAACTTTTCGCTTTGCAATCTTCTTTTCGCTGTACACTGAACTGCATATGTACATCGCAAGGTATAGTTCTGGTGTCTGCCAGGTGGCGGGATGAATTAAAGGAGAATTATGAGGCGAGTGAAAATCACTCACCTCATAGTTCTAGCCGACCTGTGACAATGAAACTGTCACACGTCAGCTCAACAGATCGGGAAGTGAGCGAACACATACCGGCGCTCGCTCACTTCTCGATCCTGTCCCTGCAGAAAGTCGTAACTGTCACTCACGGCTACCTGCAGGAATTCCCCCCTCCCCGCTCCGATCCTCCAGCGCTAACTGGCGGAACGGACGGGTCTAGCAGCGGCAAGCATGAGGTGGGGGGGAGGTGCGGCACGCCCGCGACCGGCTCGGGAGGGCGTGAGGAGGTAAGATGGGAGGGAGATCAGCATCTTCCTCCTTGCTGAACTCCCTCCGAGGTCTGAATGCAGAAGTGATGTGTATTACATCACTTCCGCATTCACCTGTCAGTCATCTGTCTGCTATAGCCAGAGAGAAGAAGCTGATGAAGCAAATCTACGCTTCATCAGCTTCTTTTGGGGTCCCCAGGAGACATTAGGGGTCTAAGAGACCCCTAATGTCTCCATAAAGAGGACCTGTCAGTGTACCTGTGCCGCCAAATAGGGAGATTGTTATTGTTGTTATTGTTAACACTAAACTGATAAGCGGTAAAAGCTTTTAAAGCGTCGCCGATGGCCAATTTTGGGTATTGTAGTTTTTTTAGTTTTTTAAGGCTTGACATGTTTGGTGTCTATTTACCCGACGTAACCCCGTCTCTTATATTTTACCAAAAAAATTGGGTAATAATAAATGTTTTATCATTTAATATAACATTTTTTTTTTTGGTACTTTTTCCTTAATATAGTAAAAAATAAAAACCCCCAATGGTGATTAAATACCAGCAAAAGAAAGCTCTAATTTCAGTACAGCGCTGCATGACGGAATAAATGTCAGTCAAAGTACCGCAGCGCTGAATACTGAAAAATGGCCTGGAGAGGAAGGGGGTTTAACAGCGCGGACTTCAAGTGGTTAAATAAATCTGCACATCTATGACATGTATTATTGTAATTATAAGAATGGGAAAACACCAAAATACAGCAATGCACAACAACCACTGCAGACTACATACAATAAACACATTCTATTATAAATAGAGGAGTTGTACCTGTGCTCAGAGGCTGCTCTTGGCTGGTAGTCTCATCCATGGGGGTAATGTAGGTTGGAGTTGTATGTAGTACAGTTGGTAGTGGTGGTACTGTGGTTATTACAGCTGTTGTCGTCTGTGGAGTTTTAGTTCTTTCACCTGTATGTATTGTGAAAGTTTCTATAGGTTCTTCACCTGTAGGTGTTGTTGTGATGCTTCTGGGAGGAGTAGGTGTCGGTGTGGGAATAATATCAGGTTTTGGTAGCGGAGCTGTGGTTCTCACAGTGGCCACCGGTGCTACAGTTGGCTTTCTCGTTGTAGGTGGTACAGTTGGTTTTCTTGTTGTAGGGGGCGGAGTTGTTGCTATGGGCGTTGTCATCCTGGCTGTTGCCGGTGGAGTCGTTTTTGGAGCTAGATAGGTAAAACAAAAAGGCCATTCTAACAAGTGAAGCTATACACATTTTACATATATATATATATTATGTGGCAGCAGGCAGGTGAAATGGCCGGGGTGTATCCAGGATGGCATATATGTGTGTCCCAGGTTCAGGCTGTATGCAGATTTTCATCACTAGAGGGAGTGCTGGGAGGCTAGTATGGTAGAGTTATGAACCCAGCTGAGGTAAACTTGCTCATTAGGGCCTCTATAAGAACTCCCAGACTGCTCAGAGATTTGCTCCACCCTGGAACCAGTTCCATGCCTTAGTAGACTGGGGGAAGCGGTCAACTGGCCTGTGTGGTGAACTACCCATAATACATTTAAAAAACCCACACCATCAATTTCAAAATCAGTTTAGAAGAAATTACTTCATTCCTGCCTACTACTAAGTTGGTGGTAATCAAAGTGTGTCCCCACTGGAGAAATTCAAAGCAATTTGCCTTGTTGGCCACTGTCTCTGGTACAGAAGGGTATGGGAAATCTAAAAGGCAAGGCTTTTTTTCTGGCGGTACGCACTGGTCCGCCAGCTCTAAGGTTTATTGTCGGCCGCCATGTTGATTGTGGCAGCGGGGATGTACTGCGCATGCGTAGTGCGTCCCTGCCCACAACAAAGATGGCCACCGCAGTGAGTAACGGCATCTTTATGCCCAGAAAAAAAAAGCACTGCTAAAAGGACATGTCACAGTTGTAGTGAGGGGACCTGCTGTGTCTCCGGGACAGGAAATGGTTAGAAATCTTCATGATGGCATTGAGACCGAAAAAGGCAAACTGACACAGGTCATAGCCATTCTCCATTTTATCCAAAAAGAAAAATTGGGCTTTATATCTACTTTAAAGTGACACTACATTCAGGAGATAAAGTGACATTAAACCCTCAGATTTTTTAACATAAACCAATACTGTAATGTGTGCCTTACTGTAATCCATGGTTGTTTCCCTTCTCTTTGCTGCTCTTCCTTTTAAATCCTCATATCTTCTCATGCTTAGGGAGAACTTCCCTTTGCAGCTGAGTGCCTCTTCCTGTAGAGCTGGCTCAGGTTACAAACCTATACACAGACACCATGTAGCCATTCCAGAGACAAGGCAGTCTGCTGCAAAACCGAAGTTCTGCCCAGCATGAGAAGAGATACAGATTTAAAAGGAAGAGCAGCAAAGAGAAGGGAAACAACCATGGATTACAGTAAGGCACACATTACAGTACTGTTTTATGTTAAAAAATCTGAGGGTTTAATGTCACTTTAAATCTTAAAAATGCATCCAATACCCCAACTGTTAACAAAAATGTATCTTATTTGTGTATCACTCGGCTGTAGATCCTCAAATCATCTCTGAATTGGTGCTGACACTGTCCTTCCTTCTGGAGGGTGGCTACTTTTGTTCCCCGTGGTCTTGTTCCTTAATTACGCTCCTATGATGGACTGCAATCTTAATACAAATGAGTAAACTAAAGATGAGATTGTAGTCCATCATGGGAGCGAGCTTGGATCTGTGACTACTTTACAACACACACACGGACCATGGGGAACAAAAGTAGCCACCCTCCAGAAGGAAGGACAGTGTCAGCACCAATTCAGAGATGATCTGAGAATCTACAGCTGAGCGATACACAAATGATGACTTCATAGTTGCTAAGATTATACAGGATGGGCCCCCATTCTAAAAGTTGCCCCATGCCCCGTCATTTCTCGTGGCATGTCCATCCAGGCAAGAGGCAACACATAAGTTGCCCAGACAGGTGGCATGTGAAGTTACTGCCATTTTATCCTATTGCAGGAAAGTGTCCTCCCAATCTTTCTGATTACTGCTCTTTGCATTTTGTCACTTCACTTCAAGCTGCCATACTGAAAACGATTGTTAAGATTAAAGGATAATTAAACCCTCCGTTTTTTTTTGCATATATCTACTGCTAGCAATCAGATATATGCAAAAAGTGTAGAAAAAAAAAAAAAACCTGCTATAACAGAGGTTAATACTTACCTGTGTCTTCCCGGCGCGCTCCAGTCCGAAAATGTGAAGATCCTCGGGCGGCCGCAAAGCATCTTGGGGCGTGCGCAAGCGCAGTTCACATTTCCGGCCGGGACGTGAGGAGAGACACAAGGTAAGTCTATGGACACGTGCACCCGCATGCAGACACCGTGGGACAGGAAGTGCAAGCAAACACAGAGGAGTCAGCGCTGGATCGGAGACCCGCCGCAGAGCTGGAGGGACAGATGAAAACGACAGGAAAGAAGATCGGATTAAGAGACATCATTTAAGGTGCTTTCATTAACATTGGGGGGAGGGGAAAAAAAATCGACTTTAATGTCACTTTAAGCTCATCGGCTTCTGGTACCTTTTTCCATGTTGAGTTGTATGTCTTTCTTCTCATCGTTGAACCACCCAGCATGTTCTATACGGCAGCAGTACGTCCCAGTGTCGCTTATGCTTGCTTGGCTTATAGTTAGTGAGACCTGACCCCCTGCAATGTTGGCGTTGAGTCGGTAGCGGTCAGATGACCTCTGTGTGACTCTGTGTCCATCAGTCCAGATGAGAACGTCATTACACTGGGATTTGGGGCAACTTCCACGACCCCAGCACATGGAGGTGATGTCACCAGTTTTTTTGACTCTGTAGCTACAAGGCAAGGTGACAGACTGGCCCTCTATTCCTCTCACAGTCTGGCCACATATCAGAGGAAATGCTGAAAAAGAGGAAGCACAAAGGATTTATTAGAAATATATCAACTAGAGGGACACCATTGTCTTTTTTTACTTGCTTGCATAGTTTCAACGTGGTGATGATGGAAATGCCAATCGTCAGCGACAACTTCCATCCAGCGCTCACCCCAGAAAGATAATCCAATATAACCAATTAGCTCTTGGGCTTATTATCCTGTTACAGAGTACATTATAAGGCTTATGTCAGACTAAGGCCCCTTTCACAAGGGTGGTCCGAACTGGTCCGTCTGTCAGTTGTTCAGAAGGACCCAATAGGATGTCTAATGTAAGTCTATGGGCAGCTGTATATAAACGGACGGGCATCTATTTAGACCTGGTTACCCCTGACTCCAGCCAGGTCCAGAAAAACAAACAAAGTTCCATTTGAACGGAACTGATTGTGCCGCATCAGGGGTGATTGGCTGCAAATTAGCTTCTCCCTTTACCTGGAGGTAAAAGGTAAGATTGGTAATAACAAGTGATTTATCTTTAAGGAGACCCTGCCAGCAACTCAAAATACTGCAGGTAAAAGCACAAAAAAAAAAATCAAAAGTATTTTACTTGCAATGTTCTTCTTTTCTTTAAAATAGAACTGAAGCGCAAACATTTTTTTTTTGTTTTGGGTAAAGTAAGGGAGGGTTATAACCCCTGTCAGCTTTTTTCTCATTTGTATCCCTCTGGGGAGATTACACCTTACTTCATGTCTGACAGTCACAACAAGAAGTGAGAGGAAATCCCTCTAAATTGAGGGAAATCCCTGGTTGTCCACAGGCTCACCAGACCTTGTGTCCCCATTAGAAGATGTCCTATCTATACCTGTTCTGATGACAGCCCAACATTTAGGATTCTCTTTCACTTTCAGAAATAATGGTAACCAGGACAAATAAAGAGGGTGGATCTCCATAACAGGGAAACAGACAGCAATAGAAACCTTTCAGGTGTTCTCATTCCCCCTCCTCTATATACAGAAAGTTTTGCCTCTGGTTTTCCTTATAATTACTTTTTATACACTTGGAATATACCTTGCTAGAAAATGTGACTACTCCAAGAAGAGCTGATTTCCTAGCATAGGCCCCTCCTTCCTTACATGTCATAACCCGCTCCTCTTCTGGGAATGTCTAATTACTCACTGTGCTGGCCCAGCTCCTCTGCCCCATCTTCTCCTCCCCTCCCCCCACCTGCCTGCATAACCTTATATGTAGCTGCTGGGGATGGGGCGGTGAATGGGAATACTGTAGATAGAATTATAGCTCTACTGGGGCTGCTGAACTCATATCCAAGATGGCAGCACCAAGCAGCAGTCTCAGGGCTTTTGAATTTCTACACAAGGGAGGCTTTTACGGGTAAATATGCCTAAAATACATTAATTGCCCCAATTTTTTTTGTACAGCGCTGTGCAAACTGTTGGTGCTATATAAATCCTGTATATGGGAAGATTATTATTGAAATGAATGTTCTGGCAGCAGTTTCTCTTTAACCCATTCCTTCCTGTATTTTCTAGTATGGCTCACAAGTATTTCAATACAAGGAGATAAAGCTTCATATCGCATAACAAAACAAAGAGGGTTTCTAAAAAACAGGAAACCAACAAGTATGACGAAATATGGGGAGATAGGCAAAGTCCTGGCACCTTCACGGCGAGCCATCCACACAGGGCTCCTTCCTGGAGCGGTTCGGGGAGAATAGAAACATACACATCAGCAAGTTAACTTCCTGATATCTTATCAGCAGTTTGACAAATTTAAAAAGTGAAACAAGCCGCATAACCTCAAGTGTCATCGTGGCACTTGACCTAGAGCAAGAAGTGTCAACAGTTGGGGCACGTCTTGTGTGGATGTCTCTTCTCTGTGTTAGAGGGGACCATGGTTAGAATTTGCAGAAGTGCTTATAACCATTCATTAAAATTATGTGAAAGCTGAACTCCAGGTATGCATCAGTTTGCCTACTTGCATTCAGTGGCGTAACAATAGCCATAGCAGCTGCTATGGGACCTGGGGGTGGAAGGGGGCCCAATTAAGGATTGCAGAAGTTGCGGTTGACACTGATCCTGTATTTCTTGTCAGGGGCGTCCCGAGGTGCCCATGCCGTCATTGCGCGTGACGTCACCTCGCGCATGGCCGATGATGTCTTCGCGCATGCGGGACCATCTGATTGATGCCTGCCGGCGGCCATCTTGTTGATGGATGCCAGCAGAGAGAGGAGGGGACGTTCACCCGGCGCGAAGAGGTATGTCGCCGGGTCCCTTCCTCTCTCCTGACACTGTCGGGCTCTCCGTCCATGACCGAGTGCCCAACTTTTTAGAGGGGGGTGACACCATAATTACTGTGAGTCATTTTGGTGTCACCCCTGCAATGGTGAGACCCGCGTGCGGGCCGCACCCCCTGCATGACGCCACTGACCCCTGTGACATTTCCCATCAAGAAGAGCTGAAATAAAATGTACAGGAGACAATGCAGACAGTTCTCCTGCTACCCGACTTTTGACAGTAGGGAGGTCGCTGAGGGACCCTATTTAAATTGTGCTATGGGGCCCCATGATCTAAAGTTACGCCTCTGCTTGCATTGCTTCAGCTGGCCCAATATCGGTATGCATATGTCATGATACCTGATTGGCCGCTGGGGATCCTGTAAAGACCTGTGGTAACCGAAGCTACTACAGTGCTGGCCGCGTTCTACCAAGTGTTGATACTGTGCTGAGCCGCTTCACCTCTGCTCTGAAACACAGGGGGACACTCGTTTGGTACAGCAGCCATTCAGAGAATGGCTAATAGTTTTATCAATGATTTGACAAGGGGCAGTGATGTCACAATTTGCTCCTCATCCAATCAGAGAATGCCTTGTATAGATCGTTAAAATACTAGGCGTTCTCAGAATGGCCGCTGTGTCGAGCAAGCGGCCCTCTGTGGTTTCAGAGCAGAGGGGAAGCCACTCTGCACAATGCAGTACTGGACCTAGGAAACCACAACCAGCACTGTAGTAGCTCCTATAAGTCTTTACAAGATCCCCAGCAGGTGATCAGGTATTACATACAGTATTTACAGTGGACCAAGCTGTACGTGTGCAACCAAAGCTTTAAGTTTGGTTGGTCATGTACCACAATACCTGGGAGATTTCCCTATAAAATGTCCCTGACATTCTCTACCGCAATGGTGGTTAACATACTTAATACCGTGTTTCCCCGAAAATAAGACACTGTCTTACTTTTTTGGGCTCGAAAAAACACACTAGGTCTTATTTTCGGGGTAGGTCTTATTTTTTTAATGTACAACAATCCAAAGTTAATGCAAATCCAAATTAAATAATCCAAAATGGCAAAGTTAAGAATAGGGTGATCAGGGCTATCAGGGGTGGCGTACCTTTCCAAGAGCAATTTGCTATCCAATCACTGGCCACAATGAGCGAAGCGCGCTTTCACTATCGATTCCTCACAGGCGGAGTGCATTTGGTATCACTCCGCCAGTGTCAGAAGGCGGCACTATAGAGGAAGCATCGGCTTATGCGGCTCTGCTCCCTATGGTGCCGCCTCGCTTCCTCTAGCGCTGGCTTCATTGGCACCCCTGATTCTCTCCCGTGGCTCTTCAAGTTCCCCCTTATGCCACCACCGGCCCTGGGAATGGTCACAACTAGGTCTTATTTTCGGGGTGGGTCTTATATTTTAGCAATTCCCAAAAATACTACTAGGTCTTATTTTTGGGGTAGGTCTTATTTTTGGGGAAACAGGGTATAGGGAGCTTGAAGTGAGGCCCCTGACATTGTCTTAAGGCCACATATAATATTCAGTGAATGTAATGCTACAAACGGCTTTTTGGGGCTGGAGACATGCACAAGAGCTGGTCAGAGACTACGGCCATGGGTGGCTCAGAAGGACAATACAAAATATCACTATGATGATATTTCATGTTTATCCATCCATGAAAAATAAAACTTAAAAAAAAAAAAAAGCTGAACCCAAGGCAGGTATAAAAGTACCTAAATTTGACCAGGAATCAGGCTTTGGCAATCCCAGGGTACAGACTGGAAGAGAGCAAATGAGACAAACCATTGTGCTGCAGTGCTCATGCGCTAACAAGCAACATGCTGATAGAAGGAAGCAATTTTAATAAGAGAGATGAGTTCATCACTCTTCTACTTCTCCTTTCACTGTCCAGTCACAGGCTGGAGGAGGGACAATACCTGTGAGTGTTATTTAACTGCAACAGAGGAAAATCAGGTCTCTTCCCTTGTCAGACCTAGACCTGAAGCTGTTACTGAACTGTAATGTGGAAAATCTAACTGTGCTTTGTGGCAAGACTATGGAAATCTCAGGACTGGATGGACAGAAATGCAAATTCTTTGGCATGCAAATAGCTCCCATATACAGTATGTACTTCATCTGTGCATTTGGTCATTTGCCTGGAATGTTAGCTTTCAATGTCATTTTAGTCCTGGCCATCATCAATTAAGAACATATGCATGAAATCTCTATATATTCCCTTTATTATACAGGTCAATAGCTGCAAGTTGTGTGAGGGCCGAGAAAGCCCTGCATTTGAATGTATTGTTCTCTGTAAATTGCTGTGCAATACGCTGGAGCTAAGAGAAGGATAAGAGCGATCGGAAGTCCAAGTCATTATAACAAGATCTGTGTAACATGGAATACAGACCATGTGTGTCTGCTAACAGCCGTGCCATGTTAACCTCTGGGCTCCCTGTGAGTCTGCAGTACATTCCATTACTATGACAGAGTGACAAGGTTAAGCTGTAATAGGATCACTGTACATAGAGAATGAGACCCCCTCCCTTTGTATTATGGCCCCCTCACTCACTGCAAAGGAAACAGAAAAACATTCCTTTGCAACCCCCTGCAAAACATTTGGATGCCTGTATGTGACCAGAATGGGTAAAGGGAAGTGGGGGCGAAAAAAAAGAGCACTTGTATGTGCAGCAGTTCACAAATGTAGATATAGGAATGTATTTCTGTGTTCTGGGTCGCAATGTAAGACATGACAGATTCAATCCAATTCTCACCATGGTCAAGTCATCATCAGTCCTTGGCTAGCAAATATTGCATTGCTTATTATCCTATGTGCTTAAAACAAAAACTAAGGGCACGATCCAATGCCTAACCATTTGCTGGGTAAATACGACTTTGCCACCATTAGATGGAGCTGACAAGCATAGAAAATGCTCCTTGGCTCCATCTAGGTGAGGAATGCTGTTCGAATGGCATTCGCTGGGTGGAAGCTTTATAAATAATGCCCTTAAAAAGTGTATATAAATTCTACATCTTATATTTCAGAATGCTTGGCCATGTCTCACTTTAACAGCACTTCCTGTTGCAGGCCTACAATGCCAACCCACTGCCTCTCACTTAAAAGCAGCGTTGTCAGCCTACTGTGTCAGTGCTTTAGGCTGTCTTATCATATCTGCCTATTAGCCCCTATCTTAGCCTATAAGGCTGTCTATCGCATCTGCTGAAAGCAGGAGCAGGCCTAACAGGCAGTCCAACGACCAACTGAAAGAGGATGCACAACAGGCTGACAACGCTGTTGGTAATTATGAGCCAGTGGCTTAGCGTGGTCACTCAGCAACAGGAAGTGCTGTTACTGGCAGGATTTCTAGGTGAGAAACCTTGCAACATATTCACATACAATGATTTGCTTAAAGGAGAACTATGAGGTGAGTGCTTTTCACTCAGCCTCATAATCTGAGCCGACCAGTGACAATGAAACTGTCACAGGTCGGCTCAGTAGATCGGGAAGTGAGCGAACACATACCGGCGCTCGCTCACTTCTCGATTCTGTCACTGCAGAGAGCCGTGACAGGGGAGTGACTGGATTGTCCCCTCCCTTGTCCGATCCTCCAGCGCTGACTGGCGGAACGGACAGGGGAGGGTACAGCTGGCTCTGCCTCTAGATAGGCAGAGCCAGCTGTCACTCACGCAGCTGGGCGGATCCAGACATAATTGTCGGGATCCGTTTCAGCTGCGGCGTCTCAGTATACCGCGAGCTACAGCTCTCTATATACTGAGCTTAGGGTGACGGGAAGACGCTAGTTTGTGTCCTCCCGTTACCCTTAGGAGAACTATGGGGAAAAGCCCTGACCCCATAGTTCTCCTTTAAGAAAGCTGCATAGAGTGAGTAATGATGCTAAATCTACTAAAAAATAGAATATGAGTTTACATACATTTTTAAAGAAAACTTTATCGTGGAAGAAACCATTGAGGGCATTGATCCATTTACATCAGTCCCTGCAACCTTTCCTGGTGCACATTCACAAAATGTGGTCAGTTTTGAGTTTAGGCTAAATAACCTTAGCAGTGTGCTTTTGATTGTGGAAATAAACTGGAGACCCCAAAGAAGATCCTCATCCAGTTTCCCCAAAAATATTGTATCTGAAGCAATAAAAAAAAAGAATAAATAAAACCCAGAACTCCAGTGCTGCAAGTTAAAAATACAAACCAAGTCACCATAATGTACATGGTTGTGAAATGGTGCAAACAGATGTGATGTGCATTGAGGACAACCACTGTAAACTGCTCTAAGCTGCTTGCTATTGGTTATACCAGTTCTTTTATTGGGGGTGGACATACCATTTGTGCATATTACGCAGCCGCACAGGGGCCCTCTGACACTTAGGGGTCCATTTTTACAAAATGTAAGTCAGATGGTTGCTGGGACCCCTGCCACTGTTACATAGATTTGGACATGGCTCACTTTTATCTAGCTGTTAATTGATCCACACTGACATCTTTTACTTGCCCAGAAGTGTGGGCCCTAAAATTGGGCTTGCACAGGGGCCCCTTGGTGACTTTGTTCTCCATTGTCTATCATCACACTGGATGGGACCATTGTACAGACAGGTTTGTCACTATATTGCCTTTGTCATGTGATACCTCTCACTAGTCTCAGTAATCTTCCTAATTTGTTTAGCAGATTTTTGGCTTTTTGCACATTAGAAACAACCCAGCTATGGCGCTATGATAAAAACCAGAACAGCATGCTGACGAAAAACGGTATGTGTATCAAAAATATGTATTAATATTTATTACAGGTATTTATATAGTGCCGACAGCACTTTACATTGCGCTGTGAATGTGCACATTCACATCGGTCCCTGCCATCAAGGAGTTTACATTCTAAAGTCCTTATCTCACATGCATACATACGAGAGCCAAGTTTTTTTAGACAGGAGCCAATTTACCTACCTGTATGTTTTTGGAATGTGGTAGAAAACCCGGGGGGAAACCCGCACAAGCGCAAACAATGTTATCGGCTTTCCCAGATATCTTTTATGACCTACAGAACACTGCCCTTTAATGCAATGAAAATTTAGTAGCCCAGATAAGAAGAGCCACTTTGGGTGACAACAATGCTCCTCCATAGATACGGTATGGTAGGTGAGTGCTGCAGAAAAAAAGAAAACTAATGCAGCCATCACATTTGAGCGGTAAGCTGCAATATCTTACACTTTAGTTTTTGGCTTAGACTGACTGCCTTTAGGCGATCCCTTAAGACTCATCTCTTCAGGGAAGCCTATCCCACCTCAACCTAACCACTGAACAATCACTTTCTCAAACAATCATCCCCACACAGCCACCTCCTCATGTATCACATGTCCCTCCCTTTTAGATTGTAAGCCCCCACGGGCAGGGCCCTCCTTACCATCCTGTCTTAAATTGTATTGTGACTGTAATGTCTTCCTTATATTGTAAAGCGCTGCGCAAACTATTGGCGCTATATAAATCCTGTATAATAATAATAATAATATGCTTTAAATTTAAAAAGACAAACACTGGAGTATTGTTCTATTTATATCAGCTTTTCCCTACTGCATGCAATCCTTAAATGTCCCAAACGGTTGTCTGTAAGTAATCCTCTTCCTGCACAGCAATTAGAAAAAACGAATGACTATTTTACAGTAAAGTCTTGTAAAGTTCTAGGAAACATTTTTTTAATCAAATTTCCATATAAACTCAAGTCAGCCCATACAATGCAATTCAACAGACGGCTCATAAAAGTTCCATTAACATTTTTCCCCTCCGAAAAATAAACATTTCTGCGTGACGTTTGCTGCCATTAAACTGTATCCTGCAAAGGCTGAGAATTCTGTGTGTGTGTGTGTGTGAAAGTTCCTTTAAGAAAGTTTTGCTGCTTACCTGTGGAAAGCAGAAGGAAGGCAATTGTCAGAGTCTCCCTGGAGCATCTGTATATCATCCTGACTGCTGAAGTGTGTTGGTGTTCTCTGCAGGGACTGACCAAGTATATGATCCAATATGCACAGAACTGGTCACTCCCCCTGCACACATCCAACACATGTAACCCTGTACTCCATCCAGCACATCATTCTTAGATTTGCAGCCTCATGCATCAAACTGAGCTGCTAATGTGCAAACATACCAGGCAGTTTTAAAATAGCCCTATTCTTTTATTCCCTCTGGTACCTAATGACCTAAGATTTGGCTGATTGTTGCAGAGCGATGGGTGGGGGTGCTGGAGTAAACCAGTGAAAGAGTCACAGCTGGATTAGGAGTTGTATGCAGTAAGAGAATCCGCACGCAGTATTTGTAGGTTTCTTTCTGGTATTTTAAATAAACACAGGCATTATTAAACATAAACTGCAGCCTAAGGAGTACAAAGGGTAAGTCCCCCCAAGTGTTATTTTAGTTGGAGGTAGAGTCTAGTGGGCTGGTTTCACAAAGCCCAGCCGCAGGCTTCGCAGCCTTACCACCCACAGAGGACCACCTTTGCCCTCTTGAAGATCCACATCAATATATTTTTCTTTTTTACTTACCTCTCTGGTGTCTTTGGCTGGTCACGTGAACAGTTGTGTTCTTTTCTTCTTTGGTCTTATCCTGTGGGTGTGCAATCTTCAATTATGTGGAGAGCGGTAATGACATCAATGCTGCATCAATACAGTGTGAATGAAGGGCACCATGCGCAATGGGCAGGGCAATGACAGTCTGTCCTCCTCCTTCTGGAATGAATGACACAAGCCATCATTCAACCTGTAAGACCGAGGACATCTTGTGGCAAAGAAGAGGTAGTGCAGAGGACAGCTCCAGGTTGAAGGTAAGTATTGCTATCAGCAGTCAGAGCTGATTTAAAACAAAACGTTAAGGAAAACTCCAGGGGAAGAATAAAATAATCTTAGCTGTAGTTGACATTATTCTGTTCCTGGCTATCTGGGAGTGTTCCTGCCCAGAAGTGGGATTTAAATCAAATGCATGCCGCAAGCTTACACAGGGCTGAGGACTCTTTTTCTCTTTGCCCCTTGCTGCTCCATACCTGGAGGTACTGCATATTTTATTTGCTGTATTGCCTGAATGCAATAGCAGATAAGTGAAGGAAAGGTGCGTACAAGATGCTGAGGATGGGGGACATTAAAGGAGTTGTAGTCCCAGCATATACAGTCCTGTTAGGGCTCAGCGTTGTAATAAGAATACATACTAGAGTTGCCATCAAAGCTTAATTTAAAAAAATCCCTTTTATGTAGTGAGCGCTGCTTTCCTTCTGCCCATCACTTTCAGCAACTTCCTGGATTCCCAGTTCTTTGCTGCTTGATGTGATGCAATCTCAAATTCTCAAGTATAGGTATCCCTTCATGCATTGCTTCCAGCAAGCAATGATAATGTTACATTGTTCAGACATTCATTTGTTGTCAACGCAGGTTCTGTGACACTGGTGATAATATTCACAGGGCTAAATGAAATTATATCAGTGCATTGAGCAAGTACATCCTATGGGCATCTTCAATAAGTAAGTTTACAAACGTCTAGATCAATATAATTATTAGGAGTGGGATAGAACTTATGGAAATTTAGTATAGAAATACAGATTTATTTTTAGTTTTTGACCTTTTAAAGCAAGTATACCTTTACCATTGTTTCTTGAATGGTATTGTAATTGTAATGCCTTCTCTATATTGTAAAGCACTGCGCAAACTGTTGGCGCCATATAAATCCTGTATAATAATAATAAAGTATATTCATTTGGTTTGCATGGACAAGACACCACTTGAGACAGAACAGAATGGTTCCTGGCACCAGAGACATACTATGAGAAATAGGTTCATGTTTAAAGTGGACCTGGCATCAGATATGATTTGTTAGGAGCAGTATGCTAAGTAATGTGTAAGTGTAACACGTCCAGGCATTTATTACCCCAGAGATCACAGTATTACCCCTGAAAATGTCTTCATCTGTGTTTTAGCCACATTTTGTAGGCCTCTCTGTTCTGGGCTGTTTCTGGTTTTCCCTGTTTCATGTACCCCCTGTGCTGTTTTTGAGCAAGGTAGATGAACAAGCTAGCTGTTTCTGCAGAGAAGTGACAGCTCCTGTCAAAAAAGATTGGTGTTGATACTTTCCATGGGAAAACAAGCAGCCAATAGTTGTGGGTATTTAGCTTCCAGATGTTCCTCTCGCTGGTCAGCAAGGAGCCCCTGCCCCTGATGTCACTGGTCAGCAAGTCGCTATATGGTGGCACGCATTCACAGAACACACCAGTGGCCAACATGGCCGCCGCCCATTCTCAAATTATTATGTGCCGGAATACATTTTTCGTATATTCGGACATATAGTAATTCATTCATTTACATGTATTCTGGGTTTTGTGTTCTGTTTTCTATTTTTACTTTTCTAGATATACTGACTTGAAAAAAGGGGTCGGCATGACATCCTGACACTTTATTTTTATAGACTCTATTTTAGTTTGACATTTATTGTTTACCTGCTGTTGTTTTATTTGATAAGAATACTTATATTGTGCCTACAAGTTTAATACTTTTGAATAAAAGTTTTATTTTTACCATACTTCTTAATATGTTTCTTTGCGGCTTAACAAAATATGAGTCTTTAAATGGAGCGGATATTGGGGAAATGGGTGTGGTTACGGGGGTGTGGTCACTGAGGGGTGTGGTCACTGAGGGGCGCTGTAAAGCTTTCTCGCACAGGGCGCCTAAAGGCCTAAGGCCGGCCCTGGTCGCCCCCACCCCTTGCATCGCTAGTCAGCAAGTTGCCTCCACCCCTGACCTCTCTGGTCATAAAGGGACCCCACTGCCCTTCACAATATTTACATGAACTGACAAATATTAATTTGCACTCACTGACTGTCAATCACACAGAAGGATGTCCAGACATACACTAATGGACATACGCTAGACCAACAAGAAGCACACAGACACACATCCAGATCAGTGAGGAGTAGACCACACACCCAAAAGAGTCTACCTTGCCGCGGTGAGCAGGTATAAAAGGATATCATTGTTTATGGAGATTTCTTTTTTTTGGCCACATGATTTCACTGAAAGACTATTTACACAAGTAGTGTATAGTATACTGTATTAGATATATAAGTATGTGTACAGTATTAACATCATGATAAGTATATATTTAATTTGTGTTGTCAATATTTCCTTTTTCGCTTCATTTCTTTAGCTAACGAAAGTGTGCCCATTCCAGACCGGGCAAGGACGGGGATACTAAGTCTATTTTTTTTTTTTTTTAACACAACATGTGTGCTGTTACAACAGTTGTATAAAACATGGCACAGATCAAAGTCATGGTTAATATTTATTAGACATGTGCACTGCCAAAAAATTTGTTTCGTTTCGTTTTAAATTCGGATTTGTGTTATTTCGTTTTTCGGGATTCGGGTGTGAAAGTCAATTCGGATTCGGACGAAATTCGGTAGCGTTCGCACGAACGTTCGTACTAACGCTACCGAATTTCGGAAATGGAAATTCGGATTTGTTTGCATTCGTTATGTCTGTAATTCGGAATTCGGATTCGGACGAAATTCGGTAGCGTTCGCACGAACGTTCGTACTAACGCTACCGAATTTCGGAAATGGAAATTCGGATTTGTTTGCATTCGTTATGTCTGTAATTCGGAATTCGGATACATCCGAATGTCCGAATGTACGAAAATTCGTCCGAATTTCGATTCGGAACGAAACGAATCGCACATGTCTAATATTTATATTACTGTGAAGTGAGAATTATATAGTTCATTTCCTTAAGAATTACTAGCTTAGTGCCAGTATAGCTAGTTTATATACTGTCATCTTTGGTCGTTTTGGTTATTGCACCTTGTTTTTCTGTGTTCCCTCCCATTTATGATGTATTTCCCCTTTCTGGTCCAAGTAGTCCTTCTGGTGTCATGGCCACATGCTAATTTGCTCGCATGGGGGGAAACATTACCATCTTTTGACCTGCAAATACCATCTGTTCAATCATCTGCTGCATTCTGTTGTCTGCTGTATGCAATAAAGATCTTCCTGGATAAAAAAATTTATTTGGTGAGTTCAGCTATCTGATAAGGATTGTCCGCGGTGATTATATCTGCTTATACAGGCCAGGCATAGAGGTCTCAGCAAGGGTTAAATCGCTAATACAACAATTGGAGTCAGAATAGCATTCATGATCCCAATCACGCAATATATTTTAAAAAGCATAAAAAGAGTAGCTACTGTTGATTACAAAATTGATCACATAACCCATTGTACCGAGCCACTATTAGTGTACATGGTGTCCTGTACTGAAAGAATGTTAATCTACATTTCGTTGTAGAACTTGGAGTGCACACCTGTGCGGTCACCACTAGCTTTGAGACCACGCTGTCACTGAGCCACTGGACTGAAATATTGAGCGGAAACCAACCCATGTGGTTCTTTATCATGACAATCAATCATAAAAGAACAACAATTGCATCCAGGGTCCTGAAACAAGCAAAGCACATTTGTTAAGCACAACTCTATACTGTCTTAAAGCAGTCCTTGTACCAAACTGCAAGTCTGCTTTTTAAATAGTCCCCCCTGGTGTCCCACGCCGGCTCTAAGCATCTGGGGGAGCATGTTTTACCCTCTCTATACTTCTCCCTTAAAGTGTATGTCTGAGCAAAAATAAAAAAAATATTCAGCACATCTCTACATTATATGCAAATTTTACCACATTTTGTCTCCTTAAATACTGCAAGTATAGAAAAATACCTGATGATCCTGTCAGAAATTCAGTGAGCTCATACATTCTTGTTAACATGGCTGCCTTTGTTGCATGGAAATCCCAAGAAGTGTTGTCAGCCCTGATGGAGCGCTTCCCTGCTGTATTGTATGGGGATGAGAAGAGGGGAAGGTGCTATCAAAGCTAGCGTGCAGCACCGTGGTCTAGGTGTTGCTATTCATTTGAATGGCACTCAACGCACCTTCTGGCAGCTGTGCGTTGCATTATAGCATGCATTGCAGTGGAAAAAGTAATGCTTGTACTACTTTCACTGCAGCACATAGTATTGTGGTACCGCATGTTGCTCGGCAACACACAGCCACTCGGGGGGTCTATTCAAATGAATGGCAAGCAAAGGCACCTAGCACATGGCACCATACGCAAGGTGCACACCGCTCCTCACGCCCACGCTGTGGTGTGAATGGGACCCAT